TGCCTGTGCACTAAAAATCAAGCTCTTTCAGATGGACGTTAAAACAGCCTTTTTAAACGGCTATCTCACTGAAGATATATATGTTGCTCAACCAAAAGGATTTGAAGACCCCCATCATCCGGAATATGTATACAAGCTTCAAAAAGCCCTGTATGGTCTAAAACAGGCCCCAAGAGCCTGGTATGAAAGGCTTGCCCAATATTTACTTCAGAATAATTACAAACGAGGGGGCTCAGACAAAACCTTATTCATAAAACGGTCAGGTTAACACATAACCATTGCACAAGTTTATGTTAACGATATTGTTTTTGGATCCACACAGACAGGTGAAATAGACCAACTGGTCAAAGTCATGCAACAAGAGTTTGAAATGAGCATGATTGGTGAGCTGGCGTACTTTCTCGGATTACAAGTCAATCAGTCAAAAGAAGGGATTTTTATATCCCAAACAAAATATGCGAAAAATATCTTATCTAAATTTGGTCTTGAATCGGCCAAAGATGCCCGAACCCCTATCTCGACAACAACCAAATTATCCAAAGACAACAACGGAACTTCTGTTGACTCCACCTTGTACAAAAGTATGATTGGCAGCTTACTGTACTTAACTGCTAGTAGACCAGAAATCATGGTAAGTGTTGGGATGTGTGCACGTTATCAAGCAAATCCAAAAGAGTCACACTTGAAGGCAGTAAAACGTATTATAAAATACGTAAAAGGTACGCTTAATTATGGTATTTGGTATTCCACTGACACTAATCTTAGTCTTACAGGGTTCAGTGATGCTGACTGGGCCGGAAACGCCGATGACAGAAAAAGCACGTCCGGTGGGTGTTTCTTTATAGGAAAAAATCTAGTCGCCTGGCTCAGTAAAGAGCAGAATTCAATTTCACTCAACACTGCAGAAGCTGAGTATATAGCCCCCGGAAGTTGCTGTACACAGCTTCTCTGGATGCGTCAAATGCTTTCTGACTATGGTTTAGATCAGAAAAATATGACCCTCTTTTGTGACAACACCAGCGCAATAAACATCTCCAAAAATCCGGTTCAGCATTCCCGAACAAAGCACATAGATATTCTCCATCACTTCATTCGTGAACTAGTCGAAGAAAAAGAAATAAATTTAGATTACATTTCTATTGACAAAAACCTTGCAGATTTATTCACCAAACCATTAGACAAATCCAGGTTTGAACTTCTTAGAGCAGCTCTTGGAGTTTGCAATCTCACTACTAATTCCATTGATCAGGTATAAATTTAATTTTTTTTTTGTTTACTCTAACAGTTCTATTTTCTTCCTTTTTCGTTGTTACTTGTTTATTTTTACAGGGACCAAAATTGTTTCCCCGGCTTCTTCTTCGAAAATTAGGTGTCCAATTTTATTTTGGTTATCTTACCTTATAATAACTCGTTTCTCTCTTAGAATTCCTTTTCAAAACAAATTCCTTACTCATCTCCTACTCACACTCAAGTACCTAACTAATACAAGCTACACCTATGTCTTGTAGCTATCACATCTCACGCCATTTTAAGAGAAACATCACATCACAAATTAATTGTTTTGTCTTCCTTCTCTTGCCTCCACTAAACCGAGACTTCACCTCCATTTTCATCTCCTCGACTTCTCACCATTGTTAATATAGAAAAGCTTCACTCATGGAAAATCCCTTCCTCTCCTTCGTGTCCTCTTCTGAAAGGGAAAATCTCTTTCGAAAAATTATTGATGCCGACTCTCCCATATCTCCTGAGGCTACAGATAGAGTTCTTGCTACCATAAAAAATGACGTGTCTCTCCTTGAAGGGCTCACGGCTAAAGAACGTCGACAAATGCTTGCTCTTGCTCGGCACATCACAGCTACACCTTGGCCGATTCTACCTGTGACAGCCTCTGCATCGATTCCTCCTCTACCCGAGCCTGTATCGATCACATCTCTTCAAAATGTGGTAATTCCCGTATCTTCTTCTCCTTTAGACAATGTTATCCACCGCTAGAAAAATTCATTTTACTGTGTCTTTGCCTGAGCAATTTGTGTCTTCCTTATCTCATGGTAATTTTGATATTAAATCTTTACCTTTACCCGGGGATCCTTATGATCCAGCCACTCATAATTTGCCTAGGAGTACTAAAAATTTGGTCTCCTTATCTGAGTTTGTAAGTTCTCTACCTTCGAATTTTGCTATTCGAAATATTGCTCAACATCTCTCTACATCTGTTCTACCCGTGTCGTGCTCTGCGTTTTCTATACCCATAACTATTCCTGCTTCTATAACCAAGTCAGAACATGCACCCGTACCTATTTCACCGACCATTGACTCGGTTCCCCTTATCACTATACCTCTGTCTAAATCTTCCCGGAAAGGGAAAGAAAAATTATCTGTTTCAGGTACTGCCGAGAAGAGGAAATTGTCTCATGTAGATGATGTGGAGACTATGGCTGAACACAAGCATCAACGACGAGGGTCCACTCTTCCACCCAGGATAACTAGATCCCGAACCCTTGCTGACACTCCGACCGTATCTGTTCCCTCAGGTTCGAAATCTAAGGGTCCCAGTAAGAATTATAAACCAGGGTTTCTCTCACCTGCACTATCAGCCGAATGGAAGGTCCATATCAATCGGGATTTCATTTTAGAAAAGTCAATTAATGAGGAAGAGTTGGCCGAAAAATGCAACATCATACCCATTCTGCGTGATCAACATTTATTTGCCTCACTTCAACATGTTGGTCCCTATTCTGCCTGGTTGACAGCCGAATTTTACAAAAATCTTACTATGGACACATTTACTGAAGGCTTGGCACACTTCCATCAAGTTTTTATTCGGGACAAATGGTACCCGTTTGGTCCAACAGAAATCAATGCTTACTTAGGGACCCCAAATCATCCAGCTGTTCCTTATCCAAATCCTCACTTATTGGCTGCGGCTTTGACTCATAACAAAGAGGTTTCTTGGCCGAGTGTAGGGCTCAAAAGTTTGAAGCTCACCACTGTTTATTCAGTCCTACTTCGTCTTGCATCTGCAAATTGGATCCCGGCAGTACGCCATCACCTTGTATCGGAACAGTTAGCGGCACTACTCTATAAGATCAGGAACCGTCTTCCTTTCAACCTTGGAGCAATCATTTTCTCTCACATGATGACATTTTTAAAAAAGAGAGGCCAAGATACATCTTCCTTACCCCAGTTTAATTTTTGGGGTTCTTCAAGACCATGGGTTCAAGCCGTATACTGATGAAATTGTTACCCCTCATGACAATGTGTATCAATATGATGAGCGTCTGACCCAACGGGAGCACTATGATGATAGAGCATCTCTTGCTAGGCCTCTGGACATCGCTGTTTCTGCCCCACTGGTTTCTGCTCCGGCTTCATCTGAGGACACTGCCTCTGCTTCTATTCCAGGTTCCAGACTGATTCCCAAAGAGCCTCAGACTTTAGTTGATCGTAGGCAGGTTGTAGTTACACTTGAGGCCTCAATTGCTTAGATTCGACACTCAGTTGCCTCTCAACAAGCCATAATTTCTGGCCTTGAAAACTTATGTGATGCTCAACTCAAGGAAATTGCTCGCATGGAGAACATATACGCCCAGATTTTGGCCGACACTGGTGCTGCTTATTCTGGTTCAGGTTCTGAAGACGACGATGATGATTCGGTTTCGGGCACCCCGTCTGCACGATAAAGCTAATCCACTATATTGATATTCACCCTCAGTGGTTGGTCATTTATTTGGCAAAAAGGGGGAGTTTTTGGAGTAAGGGGGAGTATTCTTGGAGTATGGATGTTTTTGGAAGTTTTTAAGGTATTTTTTTTGGTATCTTTCTTTGGAAATAAAAGGATCACTATGTTAGGGGGAGTAGTAGTCTATATGGTACTCTTGGATGATGGCATATGTATGGCATGTTTTTTGAGCTACTACTCGTATAAACAAGTTGATGGTAAAATCTTCTTCCTTTAATTATGTTATGATCAAATGCATATTCGCTTCCTCTGTGTATATTCTACTCGTGGTTGTGGTTGGATGATTGAAGAAATTTACACAGGTATATTGTTGACATGTGGTCTAAAAAGGAATTAAGTTTAATTTTTTATTATTATGTCACTGTATGTCTTGTTCAGTACCTATACTAAGGGCTCTAAATAAAAACTAAACTGATTACGTTTCAATTTTTGCCCAAAGTATTTGATACTTGAGTTTTACCAAATAAAATGCCAAAGGGGGAGATTGCAAGTGTAAAATTATTTGTGCACGTTAAAACCTTATTGGCTATTTTATTTAGTAGTATTATTATTAGTTTTAATTAAGGGTTGTTAGTGTTAATCTTCCTTTGGACCACTTGATATCTATCAAAGTAAATTTGAGTGGATGATATGCATTGTCAAATGAAAAGAAAGTCATCAGCAGCGCACAAATGAAGGCTTCAAAACAAAGAGCGTGTGGCTGATGTTTAACCGAAAAAGAAGATGCTAATATTAAGGATCAAAGTGGAGGCTTAATATTTGCTATAAAAAGAAACTACACCAAATAGGAAAGTTGCCAATTTTGAGTTTACTATTCTGAGCGCATACTTTTCTACAAAGCTTCCTAATTTAATCTGCTATGTTATTTTAATTGTTAAGAAGATTTAATCTGGGATACATGATCTGTACGTGGTACTGCTGAAGCATCTTGTGAAGATTGTTCTGGCATATGTGGTTCAGTCCTGAATAGGTGTTAGAAAGAGTGGTAGTGGTAAAGGCTGGAGGCCATTTATATTTACCTCTTATAATACTCCTTTTGGTGAACATTTATAGTGGATTGGGCAGACGTGGGTTGCCCCGCAGACGTAGGAGAAGGAGCTCCGAACTGCGTAACAATTCTTTTGTGTTTTTACTTTATTATGCTTTCTTTCTTCGTTATTTATATTTGTTGAAACAAATTAAATTAATGAACGTAACTGGTGCATAACTTAAAACAAGTAAAAATACATTACTTTTTGCGTTCAAGACTCACGGTGCAATTTTAAACATCAATCTCAACCTTGACTCTAAAGAACACACGCATGGCACCATCAAAGTTGCGTTCATCCAACTTTGTCACTCTGCCTATAAAACCACCAATTGCTTCAAGAACTGCCTCAGGTCGGAGTCCCGCCGGAAGTCCATGAACTTGGATCCAAAAGTCAGTGTTGTCTAATGGAACTAACTCTGAATCTTCATCCCCACTTATGCGTTTTAGAATCAATAGATTCTGCTCGAAGGCCCAAGGACCATCCTCAATGATGCGAGAGATATCACTCTCATGGTAAAACCGGAAAAGGTAACGACCCGGCAATAATTCCTTGACATTCATACCCATTGCCGGTTGCCAAACAGATGTCATCGTATCCCTGAAGAAAGCGAACTTGGTAGTTTTATTTGTTAACAGACGTCTGATAGCATAAAACTCCTTTTCACCAGTTGACGCTCTAACTTGGACATTACCGACATGTCTGATCTCATCCTCATCCTCCAGATCAGCCAACGTCAGAGTTGCCATAGATTGTAAGGCAGCATCAGGATCCATCGTGAAGACCACACAAAACTCACAAGAAAACGAAGGAGAAGAACTCTCACAAAACGGAGAAGAAAAACGCTCACAAAACGGAGAAGAATATCGCTCGCAAAACTAGCGAGAGAGAAAACAGTAAAAATGGGTGGCATTTTAATTACAAAAATGTCATCGCCTCCCACATTACATGTGGGATGTTTAAACTTTGAACGCATATTGTTTAAACATTGAACGCATATTCTTAGATTTTTATTGATCATTTTTGTACGAGTGACATTCGGGGGAATCTCTTCCCCTTTTCTTTTATTTACTTCGATCTTCGTTTCTTGTAAACTCTTTAACATTTGTGTAATGAATGTTATTCTAGCGATGAGTGGCTAAAACAACTTACAGGGCGTTTGGTTGAAGGGATTTTAAATTCCTTTCCCACTTAATTCCCACCTAATTCCAAAGGCCACAAAATTCCCTTGTTTGGTTGAAAGGAATTGCAATTACATGGAATTGCAATTCCCCCATTTTCATGGAATTAAAATCTCATGTACCCCTGGTATTTTAATTCCTGGGATTTTTAAGAAGAAAAAAAGATAGTGATGAGTCAAAATTACCCCTCCCTTTTTTTAACTTAAAATTAATGCTGGACAATAACAATAGACATTTTGGACTTTATACTACTTATTCCCTTTCAATTCCCATGTATACCAAACATTGGAATTGAAATTCCTAGTAATTCTATTCCTGTCAACCAAACATTGAAATTTAAATTTCCACTTTATTCTTAGTAATTCATCCCCTATGGAATTGCAAATCCTTTCCCACGTAATTCCTCCTATCCAACCAAACGCCCAGTTAGGGATTTTTGAGTAAAAGTGTTTATGAACTACATGCGTAGTTCTTAAATTCCTTAATGATATATTGATATTTGGGTTTTAATTATGACTTGTGTTGCAATTGTGGTCTATTTATTAATTATTATTTACACAAAAAATAATAATAATTCGAATATTAATTTTACACCAATAATAATAATAATAATAATAATAATAATAATAATAATAATAATAATAATAATAATAATAATAATAATAATATTAGTAATAATAATAATAATAATAATAATAATAATAATAATAATAACAACTTTCAATAATAATAATAATAATAATAATAATAATAATTATTATTATTATTATTATTATTATTATTATTATTATAATAGCAATAGCAATAATAAAAAATGAATAATAATAAGAATAAGAATAAAAAATAATAATAATACAAAGCAAAATAACACACACACACACACACACACACACACACACACACACACACACACACACACACACACATATATATATATATATATATATATATATATATATATATATATACATATATATAAAGGATGTGGAATCAACTTTGATCCAATATCGTTACTGAATGAGCATGAGCTCAAAGAGCTCCTCTATATAAGAGGAGCATTGCTCCCTTAATGACTTCAGTTATAAGTTTTTTTTTTTTTTTTAAAAAAATAAATATAATTCAATTGTGTTTTGGGAAAAGGTTATTCTTTCCCAAAACGCCAAATTGAAATGCTGCAAAATGTAACATTTCAGTTTTCAGCGGTTTGGAACAAACCGTTGCTCTAAACTGCTGAAGAACAAACCATTTTTTTGACATTTTGTCTCTGATCAAAATGTTAAAATGGCGTATTTGTCAAGTAAATAAAAATAAAAATAAAAATATATAGTTTTCTTTCATTATATTTAAAAATTGCGTATGCAGTAATTATGATAACCATTAAATAGATTGAGTACTTTTTTTTATGTTTTTCTTTTTAAAATTTTTTCCTATTCATATTTAACTGCAAATTTAATCGGCAATTTTATTATTACTATTATAGATTAATTATTTATGACGGAAAAAGAATATGATTTGAGACAAATTAACTAATATCTAATGGATTGGTACAACAAATGACTATTACAACAAGTTTTATGAAAGGTAAGTAATATATTAGAATCCCATTTGTATTACAAAATTAATAGTATATATGGACTAAAAGTTTATATGAAAATTAACTAACATATTAGAACTGAGTTGGAATTTTTCATATAAAGTTTTGTAATATATTAATATGTACTTAAAACGGGAAAATGAAAAATTCCAACAAAATTCTTTTTCCAATTCATTAAATATTAGCAAAAACAAATAAAAAAAATTCATTAGATATTAGTTAATTTTCATATAAAATTTTGTTACCAATCTAGCTTTATTAATTTTTTTTTACTAATTAATATTAGTATAGATTAGTGTACGGTAAGTAATATATTAGAATCCCATTGAGTCTCATTTTACTCTTTTTTTAATACAAAGAAGATGATGATTGCTTTGATGATGTGCAATATTGTTTACATTTGTGATTACTTATTTGTCACTAACATCTTTCATTTTTGTGTAACTTTATTTAGTTATTTGACTTTTCCTGCCTTTTAGGACTTTCTGAATGGAGATGTGACTGATAGTCCTATTGGAACTTTGGAGCAAAACAAGTAATATGATGTAAAGGATAGTGGATTTGTTAACAGCTGTGAATGTTGAGAAGCTGGATTGAAATTATTAATAAAATGTTTTTCTGTTGAGAGTCTAGTCATTTATGCCTTTGGGCATTAAACATTCTTCCAAAAGGTTGAACCCCAAGTCCCAACCCTAAGGGTCCCCTGCACCCCGACCCGACAGAGCATTTGGGAGGATGTAAATCATGGTAACTCAACTGAACATGAACCACAGAGGCTAGACCTATGATTGATGGTTTGACATTTTACAGGCATTTGTCCCTGGTCATTTCAATATTTTTGTTATATTTTATATTTATAATTTAAAATTTGTGTATTTTGTTTAAATTGTAAGATTGCATGGATTTACATTACTTTGAATATGCATTTGCTTTATTTGTTTATTCACACTATGTTCATATGTGAAATTATAGTTTAAAAATGAATATTACAAAAAAATAATTATTAATTGAGAATAAAAATGACATGAAATTTAGGCCAATTTAAAAAGGAAATGAATATTAATAATTGATTGAAAATTAATAATGATTCCAAACTGACTCAAATGCAAAAAAAAAAAAAAAAAAAAAAAAAAAAAATGGTCAGACCGCCCAAGAATAGTATATGTAAATTGGTAACGTATTTTGTTATTAATAATTTATTGGAAATATTTAAAAAAGAATATGTTATTAATGATTAACTAATTGACTAATTGATATGTATTTAAAAAGAGTAATTGACTGAGATAAAAATTGCACGGAAATTAGGTCAATTGAAAGATGAAGTGAATATTAATAATTGACTGAAATTAAAAATGACCCCAAATTAATTAAAATGAAAAAGGAAATGGCAGGCCGTCCTAACAATAATATATGTAAATTAGAAATAGAATCTATTATTAATATTTGACTGAAAATATTTTAAAAAAATATGCTATTAATAACTAACTAATTGATATGAAAAAAAAAACGACGTAACTTTTCTCTCTAGAACTCTCTCTAGAGCTCCGCTTCTTTCCTAGGGTTTTGGCTAGGGTTTCTGGATTTTTTTCGACTTTCTTCACGGACGGTGTTGCTTTCCGGCAAAGCTAACGACAATAGAACTGCTTTCGACAGTGAGACCAATGGAGTCGAACACACAGGCGACGGACGACGTCCCTCCGACACTCGAACGGGCAGACGAGGTGATTGAGTAGCTTACTTAGCGGTGGGCCGATATAGCTTTGGAGGAGGAGGAGGAGATCGGTTTTGAACCGGTGGGGGAGGATGTTGGTGTGGTTGCGGAGGAGGAGGAACAGCGGTGGGTGTGTGTTGGCAGATTCTTGACGCCCAAGGTAGTGAAGTTGGAATACATGCGGCAGGTTATGGCCTCAGTTTGGCAACCGGTGTGGGGTATGCAGGCTACGGAGATTCAACCGGGATTGTTTATGTTCATCTTCTATGATGAAACTAATATGCAGAGGGTCCTCGATGAAGGGCCATGGTCGTTTGATAATAGCACCCTCGTTTGCAGACAAGTGGAGGCGGGTGCTCGGCCGGCAGCTGTTGAATTGAACTCGGTGGATATGTGGGTGCAACTCTATGACTTACCGTTGGGATATACTTCAGAGGCGGTTCTTGAACAAGCTGCCAATTTTATTGGCTCGTTTGTTAAAGTTGATGATCGTTATCCAGGTGCACCGTAGAAGACGTTTCACCGGTTCCGGGTCTCAATACCGGTGGACAAGCCGCTAAAGCGGAGAATGAAGCTTATTAAGCGGGACAAGACAAGCTGTTGGGTGAATTTCCGGTATGAACGTTTACATAACTATTTCTTTTATTGTGGTTTACTAGGGCATGCCTATAAGTTTTGTAAGTTGGCAAGGAAATCTGGACTAACTGCGGACAAGTTCCCGTACACGGCGGACCTGAAGGCGGGGGGAGGTAGCCGGGGACCGAGGCAGGTGGGGGAGCCATGGTTGATACCACTTGAGGGGAAGGGGAAGGGCGTGGCGGGAGGGGAAGAGAAGGTGAGGGGTACGGGTATTGGAGGAGTAGAGGGTGTGGGTGGTGTACAGCTTGTGGAGGTGAGGGCGGGTGAGGGGGTGGTGGTAGCGTCTTATAAAAGGAGGAGAGGGGATGGGGTGGATGATGGTGATTTAAGGTTAGATGCGGGAGATGTGGAAATGACAGATTTCTCAAAAAACGGGTTTACGGCGGGTCCTGGTGGTCAGGCCCGCCCATCACAATGAGTATGATAAGCTGGAACTGTCGTGGATTTGGAAATCCACAGACAGTTCGAGAAGTGGTGGACATGGTGTCCCGTAAGAAGCCCGATTTTGTCTACTTGATGGAAACTAAAGTAGAACGAAGTCATGCAGAGAGGTTACGTGTTAAGATTGGTTTTGAGGGTCTGTTTTACGTAGATAATGAAGGGAGAGGGGGTGGCTTGGCATTATTATGGAAAAAGAATAATATTGCTAGGCTTTTGAGCTATTCGAAGAACCATGTGGATGTGGAGGTAACTATAAGGGAGAAAATATGGCGTATGACGTGTTTCTATGGGTTCCCGCAGAGGCATAGACGCAGGGAGGCCTGGCAGCTATTGAGTGGTTTGAAGGAAAAATCTGCATTACCCTGGGTGGTTGTGGGAGATTTTAATGACTTGTTATATCAGCATGAGAAGAGAGGGGGGAACCCACATCCGGTAGGTCTCCTCAGGGGTTTTGGAGATACTGTACACAATTGTGGTCTCGTTCAATTACCAATGAGATGTCACCAGTTTACATGGGAGAAGGGGAAGGGAACTGAGAGGTGGTTGGAGGAGAGGCTGGATAAGGTTTTGGTGACAGAACAATGGACTGATTTGCATGGTGAGGCATGGGTTGAGAATATTCTTACTCGGAAATCTGATCACTCAGCTCTCTTCCTAAACACCGATATTGCACTGGTGCGCAGACCAGGGGGGCCGAGACGGTTTCGTTTTGAGATGGCATGGGTTCATGATGAAGGGTAACAGAGTGTGGTGGAGACTTCCTGGCAGGATGGTAGGGATAAGGGGTTGTTGATTTTTCAGCAACATTGTGAAGGGAGGCTCATGCGGTGGGGTGGGGAACATTGGCATAAGTTCGGTGACCGCATAAAGCAGTTGAGAAAGGAGCAGGATGCGCTGCGTCATAGGCGGGATTCGGCTGCATTGGCTGAGTTTCGCAATCTTGAGGAAAGGCTGGGCCAATTGGAGGTGCAGGATGATGTTTTTTGGAGGCAACGGGCAAAACAGCACTGGCTCCGCGGTGCGGATTACAATACCAAATTCTATCACAGGTATGCTTCTGCCCGTAGAAGGAAAAATTATATTCCTAGATTGAAAAATGATGTGGGTGCCTGGGTAGATGGGGAAAATATGAAGAATGTTGTCTTAGATTATTATGCTGCTATTTTTACATCATCAAATTCTGAGTGTGAGGATCACATGTTTGATGATTTTACTTCCCGTGTAACTAATGAACAAAATAGTATGTTACTTCGCCCGTTTGAGATTCAGGAGGTCAGGTGTGCTTTATTTGCAATGTTGCCTGACAAAGCGCCAGGACCGGATGGTATGAATCTTGGGTTCTACCAGGAATTTTGGGACATTGTAGGGGGGATGTGTCTGAATTTATTGTAAATTGCTTGAATTCAGGTTCACTCCCTGAGGGATTAAATGACACTAATGTGATTTTAATTCCGAAGAAGAATGTGCCTGAGACAGTATCTGACATGAGACCGATAGCGCTAAGTAATGTGTTGTACAGAATTATGGCAAAGGTAATAGCCAATAGGATGAAACCACTTATGGGGGACCTCATCTCAGAGGCTCGGAGTGTTTTTATTCCTGGGAGGCTTATTACTGATAATATTCTTATAGCTGTGGAGGTGGGGAACTATTTGAATAGGAAACAATATGGTCAGAAGGGCTGGGCAGCATTGAAATTAGATATGGCAAATGCATATGATAGGATGGAATGACAGTTTTTGAGAAGGATGTTGGAGGTAATGGGTTTTGATGACCGGTGGATTAATTTATTGATGCAGTGCGTCACTACTATCCAGTACAACATCCTGATTAATGGTGTTGCTAGTGGTGGTGTAACGCCGACCAGGGGATTAAGGCAGGGAGATCCTTTGTCTCCGTATTTGTTTATCATCTGTGCTGAGGAACTATCTATGCTGCTACAGAGAGCTCAGATGGCTGGCTTAATACATGGCTGCAGAGTGGCTAGGGAAGCCCCACAGATATCACATTTATTTTTTGCGGATGATAGCCTATTGTTCTTTAAAGTGAATGATCAAGAGGCAGGAGTAATTAAGCAGTGTCTGGGACTATATGAGGAGTTGTCATGATAGAAGGTGAACTATCACAAGTCCAGTGTCTGTTTTAGCAGGAATACCAGTGTGGAGGACAAGTAAGTGGTGGCAACTTGTTTACAGGTAGACCAGGCACCCAATTTTGAGAAATATCTGGGTTAACCATCTTTTGTAGGGAGGAATAAAAGGGTAGTGTTCTCGTATATTGAGGATAAAATAAAACAGAGGATTGGCTCATGGAACAAGAAGTTTCTGTCACATGCAGGAAAGGAAATTCTATTGAAAAGTGTGGCACAATCCATGCCTACCTTTTCAATGAGTGTTTTCTTGATCCCAGACACAGTGTGTTTATCAATTCAGAGAGCAATGAACAAGTATTAGTGGGGTACTGGTATGGATAGGGGAATACACTGGAAAGCTTGGGATAAACTGAGTATCCCAAAGAAATTTGGGGGGATGGGATTTAAGGATCTCAGGAGTTTTAATGTGGCAATGTTGGGAAATCAAGCACGGCGGCTACTCACAAGTCCCGATTCCCTTGTTGCAAAGGTCTATAAGGCTCGGTACTATCCGAATACCTCTTTTATTGATGCTAAGGTAGGAGGATGCCCAAGCTACTCATGGAGGAGTATTATGGCAGCTCATGATATGGTGGTGGCACGGGTGTGGAGGAGAATTGGGGATGGTGAAACAACATTAATCTGGGGACACCCATGGCTTCCTGATATCCTAGCCCCCTAATACAAACAGATATGCTTGTAGAGCTCAGACATGCTAAAGTGGCAGGTTTAATAGATGACTAGACTGCTACCTGGGATCCACATATTTTAACAGATTTATTTAATGAGGAGGATGTGGATAGGATACTGAGGATTCCTGTAAGTCCGGGATATGAGGACTCATGGTATTGGCCCGATGACCCTAATGGGCTATATACAGTTAAGAATGCCTACAGGAACATTATGGGTGTTTATAACCACTCACCAGGGGAATTTGAGAAATGGACTACAATGTGGGGATGAAGGTACCTCCAAAATGGAAGACTTTTTTATGGAGAGCAATTTGTGATGTTCTTCCAACAACTAATAATTTGATTATAAAGAGGGTTGAAGTGGATCCCATATGCCAAATGTGTGGGGTGGCACATGAGGATGTGATGCATACATTGATTACTTGTGATTATTCTAGATATGTTTGGAATATTTCAGGACTGCCTATAACAAATATTGTTGTCAACTCTTTCCTCGAGTGGCTAACAACTGTGCTTACAATGTTAACAGAGGATCAAAGTGGAGCCGTAGTGGCACTGCTTTATCGTCTATGGAGATGCAGAAATTCGGCCGTATGGGACGCCGCACTTCCTCACCCTACGGCGGAATGGAGACAAGCCACGGCGGCGCTGCAGTCATTCCGGCAGGTTGCACGCCGCTGCCCAGCTGCACCCTCGGCTGCTACGGTGGAGAGCGGGGGAGACGCCATGCCGCGGTGTTTTGTGGACGCTGGATACCGGGAAGACACGGAGGAGGCTACATACGGCATTGTGTTGTTGTCTCCCGAAGGATCATTTTTTGCGGTAAAAAATGGAAGACTCCCGAATTGTTTGTCGCCGTTTATGGCGGAGACTTTGGCATGTAAGGAGGCTCTATCCTGGCTACTGGAGAAGAACATAACAATGGTCATCCTTCACACAGACTCTATACAGCTGAGGAATGCTATACGACAGAAATCAACCATTATAATGTCCTATGTTGGGGTCGTAATAGACAAATGTAGGAGTTTAATTTCGTCATTTAATTATGTCTCGTTAAATTATATTTCTAGGCAGATTAATTCGCATGCGCATATGCTAGCTTTGTTAGCTTTTGTTCAGGATCAAGCTATGTATTGGGATTATATCCCCCTGACTGCATTGCAGCTTTGATTCATTAATACAATCATTCTTTGGTTGATTTTCAAAAAAAAAAAACTAATTGATATGTATTGCAAAAAATAATTGACTGAGAAAATAAATGACACGGAAATTATGCCAATTTAAAAAGGAAATTAAATATTAATAATTGTCTAAAAATTAAAAAAAAAATCTTCATATTAACTATTTTGAAAAGAAAACGGATTAACTATAGTATAGGTAAATTGAAAAAAGTATCTGTTATTAATAATTGATTGAAAATATTAAAAATAAATATGTTATTAATAATTAACTAATTATTATGTATTAAAAAAGATTAGTTGATTGCGAATAAAAATGACATGGAAATTAGGCCAATTGAAAAAGGAAATGAATATTAATACTTGATTAAAAATTAAAAATGATCACAAATTGATTCAAATGAAAAAGGAAATGGTTAAACCGCCGAAACAATAGTATAGATAAATTGAAAAATGAATCTGCTATTAATAATTGACTGGAAATATTTAAAAAATAATATATTAATAATTATTTAATTGATATGTAGTAACAAAATAATAATTGACTGAGATAAAAATAACACAAAAATTATGCCAATTGAAAAAAGGAAATGAATATTAATAATTAGTTGGAAATTGCATTCAAAAAAAAAATTAGTTGGAAATTAAAAATGAGCCCCAATTAACTATTTCGAACAGGAAATGAATTAACTATAATAAAGTATTATATGAGATACATATGGATCTAAACTCATTGATTTCCAGAGAAAATAGTCATGCAATGGGCAAACTATTTTGAGAATACTTTGCATAGAGATGATTGTTACTACGTTATTGCATGATTATGTTAATTATATGGTAATTAAAAAAGGAAATGAATATTAATAATTGACTGAAAATTAAAAATGGTGCCAATTAACTATTTCGAAAAGGAAACGAATTAACAATAGTATAGGTAAGTTGAAAAAATAATCTATTATTAATAATTGACTGGAAATATTAAAAAATCTGTTATTAATAATTAACTAACTGATATGTATTAAAAATAATTGACTATGATTAAAAATGACACATAAATTAGGCCAATTGAAAAAGGAAATGAATATTACTATTTGACTCAAAATTCTAAATGATCTCTTATTAACTATTTCAAAAAGAAAACGGATTAACTATAATATATGTATTATATGGGATACATACGAGCTCATTGATTTCTCAAAGTAAATAGTAATGCAATGGGCAATGGTCAATTGTGTGTGGCTTTTCCCAAATCACCCATCTTGATGGACTGAAGGTGTTAACTCTAGACGAGGATGGACAAGATTCTGTTGCTACTACCAATGTTGTCTACAAAGAGGTTTTCAATAATGTGTAGTTCCAGCCAATGATATTATGTTTTCTTTTTATGCGAGGATGACAAAATTGGTATATATCTAGATAGAAATTATATCTTCCATACAAATAAATTAGGATAGCAAATGATTTATATAACTGAGTTGCTAAACAATGAGCAAATATGCCACTTAATACAAATATAAACACTGATATATAAAATCTTTAAATTTTCAACACCGGATGCGTACATCTACACATTGGTTATTAATTGGGCAATTATTTGCTCGAATTCAAGCAATGATAACATTAGAAAATACAGTCAATACAACTCAATTATTCAATTACACTATATAATATTCGATGTTATAATTTATATAATTGTATATCGATTCAAATATTCTTAAAATATTATAACAAATCCATTCC